ATTGAAGAAATTTCACTGCTTTCCTTCTACACATCTGTATTTAATATGGAAAAGGCAAAAGACATGCAATTGGAGTCCCCTGAAGATACTCAGAATTTCCAAGTTCACAAATTCCAAAAGGAAACAACAAATTATTTAAAGTGGGCTGATTATTTCATAGCTGAACTTTGATATATAGAATTTTGTTTTAATTTTACTGAAATTTAGTTTAAAATATTTACAGTTATGAGTTTTAATGTTTTGCCTAAGAAAGGATTGCTTATTCTGAGATTCAAAGATATTATTTCATGATTTAGTTTCAACACTATATAATTTATCTTCTTTCCTTATGTTTATAATACAATTTGTATTTTGTATGTTGTATATTCTGTAGGATAAAGTAGGATTTGATTTTCCTTCAATTTTTTTGTGTTTCAAGACAGGGTTTCTCTGTGTGGCCCTGGCTGCCCTAGAACTTGCTTTGTACACCAGACTGGCTTTGAACTCAGAGATCCCCACCTTCCTGTGCCTCCTACATGTTGGGATTAAAGGTGTATGTATACTATCACTGCCCTGGAAATTAATGTTTGACACATGGATACTAATTTGTTCTAGTATTGTTTTATTTTATTTCCTCACTGAATTGTAAAAGTATCTTTCACAAAACCAAAGTACATATAAAAGTTAATTATTGCACACTAGATTTCACAAATTAATATTTCTACATTACTATATATAATTGAACACCACTGTTGGGAAGTCTAGGTTATATAACCACCTCTTGAAAATAAGTCTATCACATCTCAAATAGTACTATCATGGAAGAAATGCATGTTTTCTGCTTCAACAGTGTGTTGAGATATAGGTATTTGAGCTCTGAGCTGCCTTTTCAGAAATCCAAACTGCCCAGGTGGAAGAGCTTCCTTAGGAGGCCCCAGATTGTACATGAAGAAAGAAACACCAGTAGCCAATCTTCAAGCCTATCTTCAGCAGACTCTTCAGCTATGGAATTCATTTGCTTCTAGTACTGAGTTTCATGGTGACATCCTGGTATGTATCAGTAGTCATCCAAATTATATTGATTGGCAAAATGGGTGCTTTCATAATAAAACATTAAAATGTGGCTTTGATGATTGTCTTTGCTAAACATTAGCACACTTTAGAGACTTTGTATTCATTTATGTATGTGTAGGCATTGTGTACTCAGATGCTGGAAGAGAGTGTAGGATGTCAGGTTTTGTCACTGTCTGTCTATTCCTTTTTTTCTTTTTTTAAAATTTTTTATGGGTGCAGTAAAATTTATTGATGGTATTCAAGAGAATATGGTTCCCTAAGCCTCTCCTTATTCTGGGGGTCTGGGATGGAAACTGTGAGGGAGATGATCAGTGTGGGGGTTGTTGGACAGGGACTGCTCAGCAGACAGGGCCCCTCTCTTGCTTGAGTCCTTGCTGGGGTAGATGGACAGGGTGGCCTTCTTACTCCTTGGGGGCCATGTAGGCCATGAGTTCCACCACCCTGTTGTTGTAGGTGAATTCATTGTCATACCAGGAAATGAGCTTTACCAAGTTGTTATTGAGAGCAATGCCAGCTCCAGCATCAAAGGTGGAAGAGTGGGAGTTACTGTTGAAGTCACAGGAGCACTGTCTCCCTATTTCTTTTTGCAGGATCTCTGGCTGAAGCTATGGCTTGTACTTGAGCTAGTGTAGAAAAACAGATTCAGAAATCCTCCTTCAACACACTTCCACCTACCCCTGAGCTGTGATTACAGATAATTTCAAGGTTGCCAGACTTGTTACTGTGGGTACTGGGACCCAAAACCTAGTCCTCATAATTTCAGATATCTTAACTGCTGAGCCATCTTTCTAGCCCAACTCGGGATTTTAAAAGTATCATCACAGCATAGTTTTCATAAGGAATGGAATGGATATCACAAAGAGTATGTCAGTCTTGATGATACATGAAGGTAACCTCAGCACTCAGCAAGGAAGGTCATGAAAAGTGTCAAATTAAGGATCTGATTGTTTCATTATCATACTTCAGAAATTGTTGATTTTTTTCTCTAAAAATTGTTTTATGTACTTGTACATCATCAGGATCATTTTGACATTTGAGACAGGTTTAGTATATTCTTTCCTTTATAGATATATAGTCCAACTTCTATCTATCTATCTATCTATCTATCTATCTATCTATCTATCTATCTAAATATACATATATGTCATCATCTATTATTTAATTGTCTAATTTTGTTTTTTTTTTCTTAATGCAGGTTTTTGTTATATAGCACAAACTGTACTTAAATTTACTATCCTTCTGCCTCAGGTTCATGAGTCTGGGATTGCAGGCATAGGTAACCCAGCTGTCAGAATATGGCTTTTGCAGCATGCCACCTGAGTGATCAAAATGTTTAGTAGGATGTTTTCATTCTGATTGATCAAAGCTCCTGTAAACCTCAGCATCTTTGAGTTTTACTGTGCTAAGTTAGGCCCTAAAGTGTTTGTTCCATGCCTTACAGTGGATCACCCCCATATGGACTCTGCCTCCCCCTCATTGCTGTGACCTGTTGTTCAATATAGCTATGAAGAGAGCCCAAGTAATAAAAAGGGTATCACAGAGAGTATGGCAGTCTTGCTGATACTTGGCTATAATCTCAGCACTATGGTAGAATATTATTTTGAGGTGTGGGACTTTTATTTATGCTGAACCTGAATAATTTTGTGAAGCTGTGATTCTTTGCTTGTCTCAAACACCTGATGGTTTAATAAAGAGCTGAATGGTGAATAGCAAGGCAGAAGCAAGAATGGGGAGAGCTGGAACGCAGAGAGTATAAATAGGAGAACAAAGGAGAAGGGAGGAGCAAGAGAAAGGGAAGAGGACATCAGGGGCTAGCCACCCAGCCACCCAGTCAGCCATGGAGTAAAAAGGAAAGAAAGATATACAGAAGTAAGAAAGATAAAAGCAAAGCGGGAAAAAGTAGACCAGTTAATGTAAGATAAGGAAAGCTGACCTTCATCCAGCATCTGATGGAAGGAGAAGCAGATACTAACAGCTAAACACTGAACTGAACTGTAATCCAGTTGGAGAGAGGGAGGAGTGATGAGCAAAGTGGACAAGACCAGGCTGGTGAAACCCACAGAAACAGCTGACCTGAATAAGGGGGAGCTCTTGGCCCCCAGACTGATCACTGGGAAACCAGCATCAAACTGATCCAGACCCCATGAATGTGGGTGTCAGTGAGGAGGCCTCGGAATTCTATGGGGCCTAGGAAATCTATAGGGATCAGTACATATCCCTAGCATGGGAATAGACTTTAGGAGCCTGTTTCACATAAAGGGATACTCCCTCAGCCTAGACACACAGGGGAGGGCCTAGGCCATATCCCAGAGGATATGACAGACTCTGAAGACTCCCTATGGAAGACCTCACTCTCCCTGGGGAGCAGAAATGTTATGGGATAGGTAGGGTGTTAGTGGGGGGCAAGGGAGGAGGGGAGGGAGAAGGAACTGGGATAGACATGTAAAACAATCTTGTTTGTAATGTAAATAAAAATGGAGGAAGAAAAAAAACTCACAAGATGAAAAAAAAAAAAAAAGCCAACCTAAGGCTGTGCACTCATAACTAAGAATAAGCTTCCGTGTATGATTTAACTGGGAACTGGTTGGTGGGCCCCTCAAAAAGGCCCAAAAGCAAAAAAAAGTAAAAGAGTAAAACACCAACAATACAGCACTCAGGAAGGAAGATAATGAGTATGAGGTTAGCAAAGTCAAAATCCCTGGCTTTGGTTTTCATTTTCAGACAGCACTTAACTTGAAGCCAAGAAGCTTTGGGGGAAAGATACAAAAGATCATCTGTAATTAATTATTGGTATAATTCTCAAATGTGGCTTTTAATTATTGTTGAATCAAAATTCTAATTAATTATAGCTCACAATGAGATCCATCATTTATATAAAAAGGCTTTCTCTATGTTTTTAATACTTCAATAAAATGCCTTTATACATGTAAGTATATGAACATTAAAAACATTCTCTGCTCCCTAACACATGAAACATGAAATCCAAATGCCATTATTTTTCTTCATCTTTTCCATTTTTTTTTTTTGCTTTTAAATTTTCAATGCTGGGGTTGATCCTAAGGTCCTGCACATCCTAGGCAAGAACTCTACCTCTGTGATTCATTCCAAAACTCATATCAGCATATTGAATGTGCAATAAGTAGAATATTAAGATTTAATTTGTTTTTCAATTTGAAAAGTAATTAACTTTTATCACCAATATCAATTTTCATTGGAGGAAGGACATCTTAAAGAAGAGAAGATATTAAAGCTATCAGTTTAGTTTTAATAAAACTTCTTTATAAAGTTTTTTTTAATTTTCCCAGCAGAATTTTAAAAACATGTGGTAAGAAGACTAGAGTAAATCATACAAAAGAAAAAGAAAGATTTTAGACATAAAATTTTGTAAAAAGATATACACAGACTCAAATATCCACAAAACAGATATGTGCAACATAAAGTTTTTATATTACTCATTGATATTAATTTAAATCTTTAAAAGAAATTATCTTAGATTTTTGCTTTATTGGTATACTTGGATTTTTATGTTGATCTTTCCCACTTCAAAACCTCTAAAATTGGTATCTGGGCATTGTAGACTGTGAAACTTATTAGGTATAGTAATATTTTTCTGTGCAAAATACACTTTAGCTTGTGATAGTAACATTAACTAGTAGCAGTTTTATAGAACTTATTCATTTTTTATTGTTATACATTTGATTTTTAATGCAACTGAATAGACCTGGTGGACTAGATTAATCATTATAAATATCAACTGAAAAACTGTACTTGAGTAGTTTAAGAATTATTTACTTCTCAAAAGAAAATAATTGTAGCCTGTGTTCTAAATGATTACTGACAGTTGCAACTTTGTAGAAGTGAATCTACATTTCTAAATAAAAGAAACAAGGTATTCAAAGAAGACATTTGGATATCCTACTGGAAACTAAAAATATTTATGTACTCACCTTTGTAGGTTAGCTTCAGCCTTGGAATATTTTGTTTAGATGTTTCAGTGACGGGAAGAAACAGCACAGACATGATTAGCATCATCCAAACATGAAGAAGGTGAAGATCTTGACTTCTTGACCTTGGCTTCTCATCTTTATTAGCATTCATGATGAAAATATTGTCTTTCAAGCACTGTCAACTCAACCTAAGAAGCAGAAAAAGAAAATGAAAATATTACTCCAAGATAATATCTTAGATTCTCCAGAGTTAGCAACAGCTTTCTCAATGCATGACATAATTCCAAAGTATAATTTCTCTGTCTTCCTCCTTTGTTTTTACAGACAATTTACAGAGAGAACTAAGTAATGAAATTCAAGTTTGTCTTTAGTTGGAGGAATGAATACACTAGTAGAAATTCAACTATTTTGTTAATGAATAACATTCTTCTTCTCCTCAAGTTGATTTATTTTTTGCTTTTGTTTTAATTTCATCTCCCTGGGGCACTATCTTTTTTTTTTTCAAAGCATGGTGGGCCTGCTCATAAAGTAGAAGTGCTTGAAGATCTCTATTTGTGATTGATTAACAACCCCAAAGGAAAAGATTCTCAAATGGGAATAGACAAAAGAAAGCATGTCCCCCTTTCTGGCATACAAGACTTTATAGATGTTTAGGTTTGTGAAATTGGATAAGACCTGGTTAGGGCCACAGAATAGAAGTTAGAATAGAACACACCCTCTGCCATGATTGCAGGTGAATCTGCTCCAGACAGGGCAAGGCTGCAAAAAAAATTACATTGTAAAATATGAACATTTATGAGAGGAAGAAAATAGTTACTAACCACACTGTCATCAGAAAGACTGGATGTTCTCTGGTAAAACACATAGAAAATAGGAACAATTCAATCTAAACTGAAATTAGAAGTCACATGCACCTTTTATTAAATATGTATATATCAGATGTCTTCAAAATGTGTTCTGTATAATCCAAATAATTTAACACTAATGACATCTGTGAAACATAACTCTTTAATAATGTCACTGTTGAGAAAAACAGATTTAAAGTTAAATAATTCTTCTCTCACATGGTTAAGTAAGAGTTGAGTCAGAAAAACTAATTGGGATTTAATCTGGTGGCTGCCTTCTGCATGCCTAAATCCATGGTATCTTTGTGTAGAGTCCAGCTATCTTCTATTTATAATTGGTTCTTAACTTCTCTTGCCTCATCATTTAGGTATCATCTGTGTTTTTAGTCAATAGTCACTAGAAAAGATGCTGCTAGATTGGAGCCCAACAAGTATTCCTCAATGTAGTACCTGATTTTTTAAATTATTATACAGATAACATTGGTATTTCATTGTTGATAGCTTCATACATAATAGAAGTGAATTCTCTTAAGTAGTGTTACTAATATTGAATACTCAGAACAAATATTTCAAGCTTATTTGTGTTAGTTTCAGAACTTTAAGGTTGAATTTTTTAAAGTGAGATCAGTTATTCAGGATTCTGCACTGTGTGACATACCTTTATTTGTTGGTTCAGCCTAGTTTGTCCTAGGAAAGTTTTATGCCATTAAGCTGTAGCACAGATCATTAAATACTTTCAATGTCAAGGTTACTTTAAATCTCAGAAGGTAAATCCATCCATAAAAGTAAAATAGTATCAATTATTTTTTTATTTTTGTCTCTTTTTGGTATTTTCTTTTTTTCTGATTTTTAAAATTTGAATTAGAAACAATATTGTTTTACATGACAGTCCCAGTTCCTTTCTCATTCCCGTCCTCCCCTACCACCCCCCCCCCCCCTAAAACCCTATCACATATTCTTTCTGCTCCCCCTGGATGGTGAGGCCTTCCATAGGGTGTCATCAGAGTCTATCATATCCTTTGAGATAGGTCGTAGGCCGACCCTCGTGTGTCTTGGCTCAGGAAGTATTCCTCTACGTGGAATGGGCTCCCAAAGTCCACACCCATCCTAGGGATAAATACTGAACTACTACAGGAAGTCCTGTAGATTTCCGAGGTTTCCTCAATGAAATCCATGTTCCTGGGGTCTGGATCAGTCCCATGCTGGTATCCCAGCTATCAGTCTGGGGATCAAGAGTTCCCCGATGTTCAGGTCAGCTGTTTCTGTGGGTTTCACCAGCCTGGTATGGACCCCTTTGCTCTTTACTTGTCCTTCTCAGCATCTGGATTCCAGTTCAGTTCAGTGATTAGTTGTGGGTGTCTGCTTCTACTTCCACCAGCTGCTGGATGAGGGCTATCAGGTGGCAAATAAGTCAGTCATCAATGTCATTATCAGGGGAAGGCATTTAAGGTAGCCTCTCCACTGTTGCTTAGATTGTTAGCTGGTGTCATCTTTGTAGATCTCCAGACATTTCCCTAGTGCCTGATTTCTCTGTAAACCTAAAATGTCTCCCTCCATTATGGTATCTCCATTTTTGTTATCTTCTATTTTTCCCCTGACTCAACCTTTCCATTATCAGGGGAAGGCATTTAAGGTAGCCTCTCCACTGTTGCTTAGATTGTTAGCTGGTGTCATCTTTGTAGATCTCCAGACATTTCCCTAGTGCCTGATTTCCTCTGTAATCCTAAAATGTCTCCATTATGGTATCTCCATTTTTGTTATCTTCTATTTTTCCCCTGACTCAACCTTTCCACTCCCTCATGTCCTCTGCATCCCTCCTCTTCTTCCCTTCTCATTCTCCTAGCTCCCTCCAGCCTCTTCCCATGCTCTCAATTTGCTCAGGGGATCTTGAACCTTCCACTTCTGCAAGGTAACTGCGGAGGCCCAGGTAATAGTTATGCCTCCATCCACAAGCCCAGGTAGGCTGGGGGCTGTTTCCAGTTTGGTTTGCGGGCCCTGCTCAGAGACATCTGATGCCAGGGATCTGCTCAATGGATCCGAACTCAGCAGAGGAGCCCAACAAAATATCAATTCTTAAGGTATATGCACCAAGGACTATCCCTTGTGTATAATATGTGACATTAGTTCTTATGGAATATTGCATATGAATATTTACATTTATTTGTATTTTTAAATGACATTTTATTAAGTGTGCACTTAGAACTTTTTGAAGTTTTTACCCAAGTAAGTGTAGTATGACAGATAAAAAGTGTGATGGCTTTCCTTGGTTGTCAACTTGATTATATCTGGAATTAAATAAAACCCAAATGACTGAGCACAACTTTAAGAGTTTTTTTTTTCTGAATGAAGTAATTTGAAGTGGGAAGATTCACTTTTAATCAGGATTTTCTGAGATGAGAAGATAAAGAATTAATCCAGATCTCTTGAGGTGGGAAGTTTTACCTTTAATCTGGACCACACTTTCTTCGGGGAACATAGCTATCTAAAGACATGGAAGAAGGTAAATATACAGGTTGGAAGCCTCCTGATGTGGGTGCTTGTAACTGAACTTGGACCCTTTGCAAGTGCAGTATGCACAGTGCACTAGTGAGCTATCTCTCCAGGCTCTACTGTGTTTATGTGGAGTCAGAGTCTTACTATGTAGCCCTTGTTGACGCCATACATACTATGTAGCAAGATTGTTCTCAAGCTAAATAGGTTTTCTTTTTACCTCATACTCCTAGATTCCTAGATAATAGGTATTTATCGCTATGTCCTGATTAAGTTTTATGTACATTTAAATATATTTATATGATTTGAAATGACATTTGTATATAAAGATATACTTGTATGTATTATATATTATTTAATTTCTTTTCGGTCATTTATATCATAACTTACAGTCAGTTTTTTAAGGTGAGGGGAAGATTGAGATTCATTCCAAAAGTGGCAATTATTTCTGTTTTATTTGTTTTTTGTTGCTGTGATAAACACCCCAGTAAAAAGCAACTTAGGGAGGATATAGGTTTATATAGTTTACAGATTATAGTCCCGCAATGGGGAAGCCTGGGTAGGGGCTCAAGACAAGAACTTGGAGACAGGAAGTGAAAAGCTGTCTACAGGCTTGCTTCCAGGATCACCTTTAGCTACTTTTCTTACATAACTCAGGTACTCCTGGCCAGACATGGTACCTAGTGAGCTATGACCTCCTCCATCAATTAGCAATAAGGAAATATATTCTCCAATGACATGGCCGCAGGCACATCTAAGGCAGGCAATGCCACAGTTAGGTTTCCTCTTCTCAGGTATCTCTAGCTTGTCACAAGTTGACAAAAATTAACCTGCACCATGTACAAATGATTAACACACAACAACAATACTTCCTAAATTGAGATACAAGAAATGTTACAGAGAGCAGCTTAAAGAAAGGACTAATCATTTGGACAAAGGAAATGATAGAAACCATTAGGGGAAACTCAATAACTAGTGATTCTGGCTCTGGGTTTGATAAAAGCTAAGCACAGACCAAGATAGTTTGTGCTTGATGGTTATAAGCAGAAGGGAAGACGACTAGAATATAATCAATGGGACTTGATGAAGAGGGTACCAAAGAGAGACTGTAACTCTTTGCCTCTGCCATATTTTGAAACTAATATATGCATTGATTTACTCTCTTTGGTGTTTACTTGATAATGCAAACATACCCATCAGTGTGTGTTTCCTTTCATTCCCACTGTTCTCTCACTTTTCTTTTTCTACCTGTGAGTAGATTGCTGGTATCTGCTTCCATCTCACCAACAGCTTTGGGATGCAAGGATGTTACCTATACCCTCTGAAAACAGTGAAAGGTGAGTGGAAAAATAAACTGAGTAGATTAAAATCCTCATTAAGTTCAGGACTTCTGAGCTCTTTTTGCTGTGTAATATTGTGTATAACAGGGATGTGCATTTACATACAGAGCAAGAAAGAGGACACACCATATGTCTGTTTTATTAGTAATAAGGACCTCAGTTTGAGATATTTTCTGGAAATTAATGACTAGTTGAGGTTAATGACCCTTGGCTATGTACTGAGATAGCTACTCCTCCAACTGGTCATTAATCGCTACGACATGCCCCGTGCCTCCAACATCGTCTGTTAAAAAGATTGATGCTTCGGTTTCAGTGAACAGTGACATACTGTTTCTTATAAACCCACTCATTCATAAAGTTAAATAACTTAAAAATCAAAGAATTGCTTGCTTTACCATGATGACATTCTGGTAAGTGCCTACACGTGATGAAACCTATACCAAAGGGGAGGAATGAAATACAGAATAAAAAAGTCT